TAAAATGTCATATAATTTGTAGACATAACTGACAAGAAACTGACAAATCAAATAAAAATCACAAACAATAAAGCTTGTAAATGAAGTAGACCCGTAACGTTAATTAAACAGAACAGGCGCCTCCGAACTCATTTAGTTTTTATAGTCTTGTTGACTCTACCGTAAACAAAAGACATTATAGTACAAATTGTGTTTACTTGGCAAATTTTAGGTGGACCTAAACAAACATATTAGTATTTGACGCGACACTTTTATCTGGGACAGTGGCTTGGTACAAAGCAGTAGCACAATACAATATTGTGTGTTATATTTTCATGTTTAAAAGTGAAATTAAATATTAAAAAATTAATAAAAATCCTATTGTTAGGTGTTGTTTATTCATTTGTCTTGTTATTTCTAAGTAATAACAATTATATGTAGCTATCACGTAACAACTAAATATTGTTACACTTTTCGCTATGTTAATCGCTGTTTTAAAAACGTCTTGGAATTTTAGAACTTTTTCAGGTCTTATATTTGGTAACTGCTTTTAATATCAAGAGTAATTATGAGCATTTAAGGTTGAATTGAGTCTCCGAAGGACTTATGAGGTGCAATTATTAAATTCTTGGAGCGGACAGGTATACGTTTGGAGGACGGCCATTAGTCCCTGCTAATGTTCTGTAGAATTTACAATGAATGTAAGACAAGATAATAAGAAATATCATATGGCAATTCTAACCTAATAAGAGATAGGCATGGGGGATTGGGCATGGGGCCTACCGTCTACAACCGGCTGCCGGACTAAATCACGGCATCCAGCTTCGCATCATTCAAAAATAGATTAAAAATTTTATCGAGAAAACTCTATATTCTTTTTTGTAAATCGCCTTTAATTTAAACATTACCAATAAATTGCATTGTATTGATTGTTAAGTGTAGTGTACAAACTCAATAAACGAACTCATCAATTGATTTTATAAGGGTAAATGTACACCTATACCTGGTTAAGGTTGTATAGAGAACGGTATTGGTACTATAGGACGTTGACATATTTTGTGAAGTTGCTATGGGGTGCGACCCTCGCGAATGTATAATGTAGACTAACGATTAAGTGGTTTACCTCCCCCTCGCTATATTGGCTTTTAATGGCTTCCAATGATACCCTGGTGTAAAATTAGCGCAGTAATTAACAAAAATCACAGATAGAACGCGAATAACTGATATCCTTAAATAAATAGATATTTTCGTTATCATTATCTGCCCATATCAATCTAGTACTTTTCAAAAATAACAGGCAGTGGATAACAATTTTTCATATATTTAACTCTTAACTCTTTATAGAGTAATTTAGTATGGCAATTTTTGGAGTAAATTTAAAATTTAAAGGAAAAAATGCATAAAATAATATGTAGTGTCTACATATAGCTGAAGCGCTTAACACCAGTAAAAAACTGTAAGGAATTAATCTATTAATCGCTAATTTGGATCTATCCTGTGACAAACATGACATCCGGATGTTAAACGCTTCACGGCACTCGTTCTGTGAATGACACGCAATAAAATCTGTTAAATTAATTCAACACAAATTAATCATCAATAGCAACTTATTTCAAGAAGGTTAATTCTAATCCAAAATAGAACAATGCGTCCGGTGACACTATCATATGTATATAATTTATCAATGTCTTATTTTCATTCAGCATCGCTTCTTGAAGCGTTAAAACGAAAGAAAGTTATTCATCAATGTCAGTCGATGTGTCGACGTGATGTTCTCACAGATAAAACTAAAGAAATGCCTCTACTAAACCATTATAGGACATCCTTCAATGACCAAGACAATTGGAAATATCTTAGAATGAAATTGTTTTATTTATTTATAACAACTGCATAGTATATAACCAATATGACACTATGAATTTATTATAATAATATATGACATTAAATTCTTTATTGTCATATATTTTTTAGTTTAATATTGATTGTAATTTACTTTATTTACATACTCTTTTGTCCTATTTTTATTGTTTGTGCACCAATACTTTATATATGTTGTGTTTGTCTGTAAGTGAAATTACATGTTGCCTGAAACCTTTTGCAATAGTGCCTATATATAAGAACACGTGTACTTTTGTTGATGAACCAAATAAATAAATATAAGTATAACGTTTGTAACAGGCTTCTTCTAGGCAATCAGACTATATGTAGATACAAAGTAAAAGAATACTCTAAAAGTATTGGCTGAAATTACGTAATTCCTTATTATCGATACTTAAAGCGAAAATCTTCAACTTTTAACAAAACAAAATTGATACTAAGGTAATTGAAAACTTTATTGGTGATACAAAAGTTTTAACTTTAATAAAATCTCATTTAAAACGTCTTTAACATTTTTTTCCAAACATTTAATTTCAACTTTCAATGTTAACCTTAATATAAAAGTACAATTTTACTTTAATCTTAGAATTGTCCTTACTTTAACTAATTATTATGAAATTCTTTTATCAAGACCTTCACGGCTACTGGGAGAATTTTTTACAACGATTTTTTTCACCTTTACTAATACACAAGGTTACGTTAATAAAAGCTAAAGAATGTACATAAAACAAAGGTCAAAATCTAATATAAGTAAAATTGTTTTTCTAAAGTAGTTTTGAAAGAGGATATGCGTTAAGAAGGGAGTAAATTCAGATAATATGATGGAAGATAGTACATACTGCGGAAACCCATTAACAACCGACCCTTAACTGTTTTAAAATATTCAATTAAAAGACTTAGGAGTAAGGAATTAGGCCTATTGCCTTAGTGCTTGCGTGAAAAAAAGATAAACAATAAACTAGACGTACACGTTCTAACATTAAAAGTACATGTAAAATATTTTTTTTTAATCTATATTCAAATTCAATGAAATGCTGAATATGCCTACGATTTAGAAATGAAATTCTTAGTTTTCATCGCTGTCAGCGGAGAGATATCACGGCACGTTATTAAATTTCCAGCTAAAATTGCTTTACAGTTGTTCGAAATAGATTTCAAAGTTCTCATCGTTATTAAATCTTACGTTAAACCATTTGTTAATGTCTTCGATGAACGTTCCATTTATATAATACGGATTAAAATACAACGGTTGACACCACTAAGCATTGTTAATTATATTGACGTTGATAATTTGCTAGAGCGTGTGAATACCGTCTGGGCCGGACTGTCGCCATCGTTAACGGCTTATTGAAATCCAATTAGTAGAGGCGTGGTTGATTCTTCTATGTTTATTTGGTCACCGAACACGTCAATATAGTGACAGTTATTAGAAGCAACGAAAAATTAAATAGATAAATTAATGAATACAAAAGATAGCACGATGTATTATAATTCTATTGTAACCCTGTGCCGTACAAAGAGTTCGGATCTTGTGGCACAATCACCCGTAGACTAAGTGTTTATTGTAAATAGATGAAGTGGCACTTACCTATTCAATGCCCCGCTCACCGGCGGCTGGTACCTGGTCATTTTGTCGGTGTCAATCAAGTCTGATCACAGTCGAGTAGTATTTAGGCGCGAACGATGCAGCCAGCTCGGTGCACCCGATGCAACACCTCCCGTAAGCGCGCTATAGACGCATCGTCGTCTAACCGAACCTTAAACTTAAGCGATCCCGTCCGCTTAAAAACCGACACGTCCGACGCGTGACTCTTTTCGTTAACTCCCGATACTAATTCCCCTGTGCCAAGTCACTGCCTTCCCCGCACCTCGCAGGCCCCGAACGCGACAGTGGCCGTGACGGATTTCTAACTACCCGCTTGTGCGGGAGAATAAAAATGAAGGCGGGCTACCTACATTAAACCGGATATGCAGGATTGCGAAATTCAAGATGTCGAACCATAGTACATCGTACCAAACATAACCTTATTTGTAATCGATTAAATCTAAAACTACCGAACGCATTAAAATATTGATCACAACAATAAATAACATCTATTAGATAAAGAGTTGCCATATTAAAAAAAATACAAATATAAAAAGTATTTCCATTTGGCCAGCTGATAAAGTACAAAATTATGCTGTAAAGATGAGTTCACAACAATGGATAAAAGTTTAAAAACAAAACTGCAATGGGGTGTGAACGTCATCGTATACAAGTTCAAGCGAAAGTTACCTCTATGTGGACTAGCTTAAAACATAAAGTTAAGTCAGTGTAGACTATGCTTTACAATTTGTGTGCATGTATGTTGTATGGTCGTATGTTATCAGAGCTCGGGGCAGGCGGTGCTTGGAACGAATGCTTATTGTTGTGGCTCCCCTGACACCCTTAACGACAACAAATGCATGATAACATTTCACACTAGACGTATACAAGTGCTGTCGTTAATGTTATGACTGTTTAGCTATTATTATTGTTAGTATAAAACATACAATGATATAATGTGATAAAAATAGATTTTTTTTATAATGACAGACATAGACAAATATATTATGTACGATGTGGTAGGTACGGTTTGCTAAATAATAGTAATCTATATAGCTTAATATTTTCATTGCATTTTATAGCCATTTTTCGAATAAAATTACTACAACTAATAAAAAATACTCAAACGGAGTACCTATTATACAAGAGCCTAATTACGAAGCTTTTTAAATTGCCCTCTTAAAACAGACTAGCCCTAACTCAGGTGAAACTGTCTAGAAAACAAGATATATAATTTTAGCAACAACGGGATGTCGAGGGCACTACATTGATGAGAATAAATAATATTCACGTCTAGAATTCAACATTTATTAGTTTAATCGTTTTAAATTGTGCCATGGCGACGAAAAATTCTAGTCTTTTTACGCATGCAGCTATGTAGTTTGTTTTTAACTAGCAGTAACTATTATAATTTCAACGCATTATGTGAAATTACGAGTAGGTGCTAGTGTTATATGCAGGCGCATAAAACACACGCGATGCAAAATGAAAGCGTCTTTACGTAGAAGTTTTTAATCACCATCGAGTTACCTCGCTCTGTTACTCGCAGACGCCGAATCTGGCAACACGCGACTGCATCCGAACGACAAAACGATCCGAGCCCGCCGGCGCGTTCGGGTTCGGCGTTCGTCGCTTGTCGCGTCGTCTGATCGGTCCGTCATTCAGTCCGGAGGTGTCCGCGGGCGGGGCGGCACGTGCGGTGCGCGCCTCGCATCTGTATTGTTTTGGCTCATCTAACCATTGTTTAATTCCATCCGACTAGAATCGATACGACATTGATGCAAAGTGCACGGCCTACGTTACTGCATTATCTAATATTTTAATGGCGTAACATAGAGACAATAATATGTTATCTGATAGAGCGAATAAATGAAGTCGTGATTTATTGACAAGTGAAACTTTCGATCGTTCATTTGTTGGATGTACCGTTTATGTTTTGTCACTGGACCAAACAAACGTGCAAGTGATCTTTGTTGTAAAGGGAAGCATGCAAATCAATAATCTAGTGGATACCCAGCTGCGAGCAACCGAGAGCTCGTACTGTGAGGTTTATTACACGGTTGCATATTGATTGGATCTCTGGCGGGATCACTGAAAAGTCACCATAGGTAAGAAATAAACACGATTTAAAATGCCATTTTTAACTGTTATTTTACAGCTTTATTAATTACAGCAAAATTGTATTGACCATTAATTCAAGTTTTAATTTGTAAAATGAAATTAAAAGTAAACATAAAAAGCGAATTAATTTTAATTTAGTTTTTACAGTCGCAAAGCGCCGCGACGTACTTGTATCCATCAGCCAACGTACGTTTCCCACTTTTTGCAACATGAAACATACGAGAATCTAAAATTAAAGTTGGAAGGTACAATTTGCATAAACATACAATTTTACATTCTTCAATCGTAATATACAATAAAGAGAAAAAATGTAAAAATTCGTTTTATTTTAGTAAAAATAAAAATATGAGAAACAAAGATGAATTATTTCGATAAATTCTAATTAGAATGGTAAATATGATACATAGTGTGCAGTGTGCCATGCAGATTTAAAAGCAGACGTCACATGCGTTAACAATGCTTTCAGTTTCCACTTTCATATAAATTTTCTCCACACGAGGAGCACCACTTCACATGCGTTTAATACCGTGATCATTGAAATAGAAATAGACGTCGATGTGAGAAACATGTTGTATAATACACTATCATAACTCTTAATAAACATTTTCCCAAGAACGATAAGTACAAGAATTACTAATGGTAAGTATTGTCACTTATTCTGGATTAGACACAATTATTGTTCTGAGTTGACAGAGATGAATATTAAGAGTCACCATTTTTCACGCTATATCCTACGCATTGACTACCCTTTTTCTTTAACATGGAATATATACTGGCTTAAAGACATAAAAGACGCTCTTGCTGAAGGCCGAAAATTTGGTCCCCTTTTTGTTAAAAAATATCACGGCTTTACCAAACTGGGTGGGTGGTTGAATTACGTTAAATTCTCGTTTGGACTCTGCAATAAAACATGGTATTCTAATATTATAAATAAAAATAAAAGAAATTATAAATTCTGAATCTGGTATTCAGGACATCATGGGCATTATACTAAATATTATTTCTAATAAAAACGTAACTAAATTAACTACCATTAATTCCAATATCAAATTTGATATTGCACAAGTCGCAAGTCACAATAACGAAGTGCCTACAAATTGTTGGTTTATATCGGGCGATGACACATGCGAACGTCTTGATGGTTTATTATTGCAGCGGACGAAACTCTTATTCGAAGATGTAACCACGACGACAAATCATGATTTATAAAGCTTGACCACTAATAACCAATTTTTTAACGGTTTTCAATTTGACTCATTTTAATTGCTTAATAATTCGCAATTAACTTTACTGTGAGTTTCTACTGCTTTAACATATCTATTTCTCTACTTCATCAAAAACAATGTGAGAGCTGGCGATATGTTTATACTGCTCTTTGTAAATCTGCTCGAAATTGTTATCTCTACCACCAAAATAACGTCAAAACATCTTGTTATATCACTACAACAATCGTAGCGTATACAACACTAATGTGCAATTCAATTTGTCTGAGGTCATTCCTATTGTTTCGAATTGGATTAATAGCGTTAATAATGTAGTGGGTACGAGTAGGTATTCTTATAGACATCGCCCACCTACCTGCATGACCTTAAGTATGGGATTTAGTTACATCTCAAACAATAGAACTGGAATCAAGGTTTACTGCGTAGTTCGACGGCATTGTGATATGATAATCATAAAACCCTTTGAATATACATCAATATAAATTAACTAATATACGTATTTAACAGTTTTGAATTAATACTTATAAGTCGTACGTATAATTTTGTTCAGCTATTACGTTTTATTTCTCAAATTTAGTTTAATCTAATGTAAAATGGATGAAATCTTAAAGCGCAATTGCGAAGCACACCTGACCGCAAAGAGGGAAGGCAACCAGTTTTGCCAGGTGGGTCGAATCATGTAGACTCCTTCCTTTCATGTTAATATGCGGGCTAAAATTTGGCCTTAGTACTTAGGATAAGAACATACATTGAGAGAAAGAGGTAACAAATAAGTATTGAATTTTTCTCTATATTGTGCTGCAAAAAATTATGACTTTATAATAATTAAACTTTGCACCCACATTGGTACTCTGATTAATAAATTTCTTTGAACATTACCAAGACGGATGTTATAAAGACGATGTTATCTAGTTTTGAATAACATTAAATAATTTTTCTAAGGATGAGAAATAAAATCTTGACTCGTCATTTGTTACACCAAACTAATCTATGCATCAAAAAATATGTATTATGCGAAAAGAAAGTGAAATTTGCTAGCGATTTAAATTTATAATTAAAACATTTTTGTATTGTGTAAACTAGGTTTCAAAGGTACAGTATAATCCATTGTCTTATGTTATAATTTTATTAATATGTCTAGCAATAAACTTCACAATAGGTTAATAACTTTGATAACAGCTAATTGTGTGAGTTTTGAATAATTCTTTAACCGTGGGTTTCTGAGACATAAATTTGCATAAAATATATCGTCATCCCTGTCATTATCTCTGACAACACAAAAATAACAATATGGTTTCTATAATATAATTAAATAAAAATACATAGACAATTCTAAAAGACAATCATATTTTCGTTAAACTACTCTCCATTTTAATAAAGTTTTTATTATCGACTCATTCCAAATAATTTTTCCTTAATACATCATGTGTTTTCTTTAGATGAAAGTAAAAATATACACAAGCTTATTTTTATAATCTTCGGCCGTGCGTTAAAATTTGAACAAGTGGCAGTTGGCAAGACAAACATCGTGAGAACCTTGTACGTCACAGAAACAAGGTCGGACGTTAATTCGCCTATCAATTCAACTTGTTTTCTTTTTTATCTGTAACACAACTTTTTTAACATTTTCTGTCAATTTATCAAACAAGGCCAGTTTCATCGGACACTGAGCAATCGTAGACGTAATCGGTTATAATAAAATAAAATGTAGACTTAATATACAGTAGACATGATTTTTTCTTTACTATTATAATATCTTCTGAAGTAATCAAAACAAAAAACCTCTTAGATACTCTAGCTTTAAAGTCCCATAAAAGATGACTAATTTGTAAAAATAAGAAAAAAGTACTATACTTTTTGTTCTTATTTAAAATCTTTATGTAAAATATCCACTGAATCATCCCGTTCGTGATTTGAATCGCTTAAACTCTGTGGTCGGACATTCCAACGAACCCAATGATTCATCATCCCTTTATCCCTACATATTTAAAGTTATTGTTTAAAAAGTTAACAACACTGCCATATCTTAAGTAGTTCCAGTCTCAGCCTGATGCTATAACGTGGATTCTATAGAGAGACCTCTTCAACGCAATAAACCTACTTATGTTAAAATACCTATTCTACAAGCCTTTTCTGATTTTATCAAATCTGCGAGCAGAAGACATTCAAGCCTGTTGAACATTTAATATATTGATATTGTTACATTATTTATGTGCTTATAATACTCAGAATATATTCTAAGATTCCATTATCCTTGTAGGTATCTCGTCTCCAACATTCCTCGTTGACTAAAGTCTGTCGATGCTATTTGCGGTCGACCGGTCGAAAACCAGTCGAACGTACTGTACTATCCTGAACGTTTTGTTGTAATAAACGTGTACGCCGATGTCCAGCCTTTTGATATAATTCAATAGAACAGGTTCCTCGCCAAGGACGACTCATCATTTAACTGAATGATTATAATAAAAGTTGCCATTACGTTTGAACACTTCTCTGTCTAATATTTTACATTTAACAAACGAATATTACTAATTTAAAACCATACCGAGTAATCTTATCTTATTATTGTTATAAATGCGAATGTTTGGAGAGATGGATGTTTGTTTGAAGCTCCAAAACGGCTTAACGGATCTCAATGAAATTTAGTGTACATATAGAACATATTCTGGAATAACACTCATTAAGTTTTTGTTAATCCAGCGGACGTAGTCGCGGGCGACAGGTAGTCTGATGATCTGTAAACTCTATACTCGAACAAACGTTGAGTTTGTTGAGAAAATATTTGTTTAGATTTAATTGGATAACTTCAGATTTACGATTTAAGCAATTCCATAATTTAATATTTGAATACTGTACTCACTTACGAGATTTATAAATCATTTTCCATGAATTTTTTGGTAAAGAACTTTGTAAAAAGCAGCAACAAACAGTATTTTGTAGACATTGTATCATATTACCAAGAATTTATATAAAAATGTGTTTTGCAAAAAATAGCTCCTGCTATATTCTAAGACATCTCAGTTACGAATACTGTTAAAAAATTTATAACAATTTCTTATAACGTTAACTTACCTAACGGACATACTCACGCGTGATGGTAAAAACACATCAAACAAATTATTAACGGTTTTCAGATGTATTTTAAAACGTTAACATACATTTGTTCAGGTATTTTGCAGTCAATTTGCAAACTGTAATAGACTTTATTTTATTGGCATAGAGTAGAAAATCATGCTAACATTTCCATCCACCTCAGTATAGCCGTGAAATATAACGGTTTTTGATACAGTACAGAATGTGTTTGAAAATGATAACCTTAAACTTCAGATTGTACTCCTTAAAATATCATTCTTGTAGCTTTCAAGCGCTTATTTACTTGGCTAATTAATTAATATTTGCAGAATAATTCTTCATCTCATTGGATCATGTTTAGCAGCCAATTAGTAAAAATAAACGTCCATTTTATATTTTTCTAAACGACTTGAATATTAATCCAGAACATATTTCGGTTGCAAACTGTTTATTGAAGTTAAAACCACTTTTTCTATAAACTATTTCATTGTATCACTATTACTGTGTTTTATTCATTGACTAAGATGACAATGTTATTTTCCTGCTCTGTTTATGCGCTTTGTTATTCCCCCAATGAGCAGTGTCGCCCGCATCATTTGAAATAAGAGCAACAGCCATTATTCCATCGTCTTCAAAAGAGTTATTTCAACTGAACAAAAGAAATATGGAACGCGGCAAATGCAAGCTTTTAC